ACTGAGCAAGAAATGGAAAATGAAGCTCTCTCCTTTATTAACATAAATGGTATTATTCTGTGCTTCTCTAAAGACGGTGAAAGACATTCACTTTCAACAAACCAATTATTCCTAATTAAAATCTTCACTGAACTTAGAAAAAAGTAGGACCTGGAGAGATGATGTGAACAGAGCATGAATCAGACCTTGCAGCTTTGTTAACAAAACTTCAGATGAAAGGTGTCTTCATTTACTGATGCAATTGATGCAGCTGAATGGTTCAAATAACCAGGTATATATGTCTAGGATTTGTTAAAAAAATCCCCCTTTTTTTTTTTTCACAATGGCTGCAGCAACTGCTGTGGATGACTTTCACATCCAACTTAATTAAATGCCAAGTAATCACTTTCCAATGAAGCCACCATTTTAGAAATGATTGAGTGCATTTACTATGTCTCTCACTGGAGCTGAAGAGGACAGACTGAAGAATGGCAAACTTAAAATGTCTAAGTAAGCAGACATTGTGGAGCTGCCCACTGCACAAGTCTGCTCCTATAGGCCAAGTGCATCCTGGTCTGCCTACATTTATAAAAGCAGCTGTTGAGTCCTTCCAGAGCCCTGAACAGAATCAGTACTCACAGTTCCGGTATCCTGCTCCCTGACGTAAAAAAAAGGATTTCACTTCAGTCTTTCCTTATCTGAGAATGAAGAGGTGCAATGCTGAGGCACACTGTTGGTCAGGCCTGTTACTTTGGTAACGAAATCTGTGCAATCTTGTTCTTTCTGGGTTTCGTCATGGGCTGCTTAGATTGTCTCTCTACTCTTAGTTATGGTTTGTTGCTTCACGGGGATGGCAGATTCCCTTTTTTCCCATAGTGACCTTGACAGGAGATTGTGGATCAGCACAACTCCTCTTCCTGGGAAAGAAAACGGAGGGAAGCGGCAACTCCTGCTTCTCCTGGTAGCTGATGTTCTTACCTTGCTGATGATAGCTCTACTACATCACGGGCAGGTATTTGCCAGGCAATGACATGTGTTTTAACAGGCATGTGAGGGAGGCTAGGACAGGGATTTATGTTGTGTGGAGGGACACAACAGAAACACAGGAGAAAACATAAAAGTGATTGAGATATACTTGATTTGACAATGGAGCGGGTATCAGTGGGAGAAGAAAAGAGGTGAAGGTGATTTTCTCTTTGCAGCACATTGAGGTACGAGTATAGCAGGAGCAGGCATCTAAACCCAGAGTCAGACAGCCCGGACAACACTGATGCAGTCATTAAAATACAAATCCAGTATCCCTAATAATCCCATACTCCAGTCCATTCCAATGCATCTTCATAGCTTTTGTTGTGCTGCATAAATTAAAGGTTATTAGGATACGCTGCAATCACGTTTCCATTTTGCTGTTTATAGGCAAGGTAAGCTTAAGACAGCTCTTAAGTGACAGATGGGAAAGAGTCAGGTGGATGCAAGGGTAACACAAGGTCAGTGAGCTAATAAGATTTCAGCATTTTTCAGTGAGTTTGGAGGAAAGAAGGAAACAGAACTAACTGTGGACAGAAATGAAAGGCAGCAGTGATAAAGATGTAAAACAATCATCAAAGACTAAAGAGGGACAATGTTAAGGTAATGATAAGGAATAGCAGTGGAGCCATGAGTCTGGGAGTTCACATCAAATGTTGAATCAGGAGTGAGAAGATAAGAGACTTCCAGATCAGATACAAACTTGTTGTTAAGAAGAGTTTTTTCGTCCTTTGTATCACTTAGCTCTTCAGCTGTGCTCCCTCAGCTGGAATACCTTTATAGTAAGAGGGAGATTCCACACAAAGTAGAAGACAAAAAAATCACAAAAGGCCAGCTTCTTGTTTGCATGACAGTATTCTGTAAAGCATAGGTATTACAGTCATCTTCTGAAGTTGCACATGGACAGTACATTTTGATGTGGTGGCTAAGGAATCTATCCACCCTAAATGTGTCTGTAAATTTGTGAATGGGTATGAGCAACAATCCCTCATATTTTTCTTCTAATTAGCATACTTTTTTCTTTTTTTCGTCTGCCTTTTATTTTTAGTAATTTCTTTTGAGCAGGAAACCTTTCTACTTTTCTACTTTCTTTTAGTCCCTCCTATCAGTTACATCATCACTACATTCAAGAGAATATTTCCAGCATAAAAATAGAACAAAATAGGAGGATAAGGTACTAAACTTTCTCAGAGCCTTTTTTTTTCTTTTTTTTTTTTTGTGTCTTCAAGCTGTTTATACTTATAATTAGGAACATAAAAAAGGTTTACAATGGGATGGTTTAGAAAATGGATTTCCTGAGGTTTTTTTTAAATAATGCTGCAAAAAAGACTTCACAAATTGAAAAAATCATATTTCTTGGAGCAGAGAAAAATAATTGGGAGTGGTTATTCACACCATCTAAAAAGAGAAGAATATACATAACACTACACCCACAGGAAAAAGAAAAAAATAAAACAAAACTATGAAAACCATGGCAATGCATGTGATAACATGTGACAAAATTTGTGATTTGTGATAACAAAACCTCATCTTAAAAAATATATAGGAAATCAGCGTACTGTCAACATGGCTTTACATCACACGCGTTGCACCAGTCAAACTAAAATGGTCTAGTAACTTCCATTCTTAGTTTTAGCTTAAGGCAAACATGAGGTAAAATGCACGAAGCTAACATTATCAGCTTAGCTAATCTACAGTAATTTACTAAATTGTTATACAGAATACATGTATCTGTGCTAATTTAACAAACCAAAGGTTCTTTCTATAAAATGGAAAAAGTATAATAGAATAGGTTAAGCTTCACTTACAGTACATAGTCAAATACCAATTTTGAGTATTCTCTTTATAGCTAATTGAACTTGTGTGAACCTGAAGTTGCTAGAACTAGCTTGTCTGCTTGAACTAGCTTGCTTGAACTGTTTTCTGTATTTAAAAAAGTGGCTTAATAATAATAAAAAATACTCATAGGAAAGGTAAACTGTTTACCTTCAGCAACCTTTTATTTTAACATTTTCTGTTTTAAAGAGCATATTAAAATATACTACTATTGTGCGATACCAAACAAAAGTTATCTTTACTGTTTGCACTATGGCGGACCCAGCTATTATTTACACTGATTATATACAGAATAGAATTAATTAAAATTAAATATTTAAATTAAGATATTTGAATTGCTTTTGAATTTCTTTCCATTTATTTTTTAATATATAGTTTTATAATTTGACATTGCTCCCTCAGTATACACGTAATTCATCACTTACAATGGTGTTTTTTGTTTAGGGGTATACCTGTCTGTTAGACAACATGTTTCTACAGGAGGTTCCAAGATCAATTACCATTCTCAATTTGTTTGACCTGCTCTATTTACACAGGGTTTTATGGTTTCTACTCATTTTCCCTGACACAATTAGTTTTTTCTAAGGAAGCAAGGATGTGCATGCAACATAATAATTAATACCCATGTCCTTTCCAGTTAAGTTCTCTCAGTCAGTAATTCACTGGAAAAATCATAAAATAGATTTCATTGTGTGCTTGTCTAGAAAGGACTAGATCAACTCCATGTTTTAGTGGGATTTAGGCACTTAACTATATAGCAAATTTAAAACCCAAGGCTTCAGCATTTTTGCAGGTGACCAATATAATTAATTCAAAGCTATTCACATATTTAGATTTATCCTTATATATTTATTTATACGCTATCTCCATTAGCAAATATTTGTAAATATACACAAATGTGTGTGCATGTATATGCATTTCTGGCACCAAGCCTTTCATTTGTCCTTGATTTTACAATGGGATGCATGGATGCATCCATTTTAACGTGGATGTGGTAAATAATATACTTAAGAAAGGATCATGCAGCAGGACTTGGAAAGATTAAGGAAAAAAACAGTGATGAAGTATATGAACTTGGAAAGAGACACTGATATGGAAACGAACTATTAATGCATGCTAAAAATACACGTAACTGACAGATGACTCAATGACTGGATGGAGGACTGTTCATTGCAACTAATATGTGATAAAAGGCAAATTAATTAAGCCAAAAATCAAATTATATAGAAACATTGTGAATATAGTGTACAAAAAAGGAGGCAAATATCTGGAACCTATCTCCTTCTCATGTTATTTCTAGATCACTTTTGTAGAAATTGTTTTGTAGAAAACTGATTTCTTGTATTTTTAATTATGTAAAATATATACAATATATTTAATTTGCTGATAAAGATCACCTTTTTTTTATGTCAGTCTTTCAGGTTTTGTCTTGTTCCATCTATTTAAACTTTGGGAAGATCCATGGAATTCTTCCTGATTTTTCTGTAAAACTAGCAGAATGTTTATAGAGAAAAACTAAACAAACATGAGTGACAGTATGTTTAAGAAGGAACTGGAATTTGTTTTGAAACAGAAGTGGGAAGATAACACTCCAAATAGATAATGCAATTATGGTTTTATGCATGGTTATTGAACTCTTAAATGATAGGGTTTTCAACTTTATGTAATTGTGAATTTTCAATCTACAGTAATTCCTGAATAATTTAACCTCTTAGTTTGAGTTTAGTGTTGCTAGCTTGAATTACGAATATCATTTTATCTTGCATAAGGAGATGGTTTATATTTATATCTCTAAAATTGGAGCCCAGATGTAACATTTCTATAACAGATAAAAATCTGCTACTCTGCTAAACTGAAGCAAACTTCCAAATTATTGCCATGGAAATAAATCAGTTTAGAGTACAGTACCGGACAAAAAGGTTATTGCAAACCTTTTAACTGAAATTAGGTGATCAAATTTATGTATTATGAATTCATTCAAGTCTTAAAGAAGTAATGTATTTTGTTTTTCAACAAGTGAGGGATGGGAGATAACTGATTCTATGATGTATCTGGCTTTCAGGTTCCTAGAAGCTACATCTTGAGCTTAGTCTTCTGAATTACACAAAATTTATAAATATGGTAAAAGAAAACATTGCCATTAAACTCAAGGTAAGAAATTATTATACATCGGTTTATGCATCTTTATATAAAAAGTTACAATTAGCAAGCATATGGCACAGAAATGGAACAGTAACAGCAAGAATTGTGAATGCATGCTTTTTACAATGTACCTAATAAAGGGGTTCTTGCCAACTCAAATATTCAGTAACATACATGCAGATTATTTTCTCAGTGTCAAATTCAGTCATATTGCTAGATGCTTATCCAACAAACATTTCTATTGAAGTGATTATGAATGGTTGAATACCTGATTTCAATAAATTGTTCCTGAAATTGGGAATTTAACTTGCAACAAAAAATGAGAGAGGAAAAAAAAAAAAGAGAAATGATCAATAAGCATAATAACCAAAGTCTTATTGCCATCTAGTAATCAATACTGTTTGCTGAATTTTGTCATGATATGAGAATAGCTGGTCAGAGAGTCCATAAAACCTCTAGCTGGTGTTTCCAAGGACGACAGTTTCACATTTCACTGTAGCACGTTCAAAATCACCCAGGAGCACACTATTCTCAAGCAGTCTATATAATGAAAACAACGTATATGTAACTAAAGTTCAATGCAAATCTTCTTCAACATATCACACAACATACAAGTAAATAACAGACATAAAATATATCAACTGAAATAAAACTAAGATTTTTTTAAAAAAAAAGAAATAGAAAAAGAGGACAGTCTCAGTTAGGAGTTAATTTCTTCTTCAAGTCTGCAGCATCTCTCCAAAAGTATTTAAAAACTAAGGAGCACTTGGTGGCCAGCAATCAAATTACAAAAGAAACTTGTTATTGTATTATTGCGCCATGGGAATAGCTTACTAAGGAAGTAAGATATGTCTGTACTTCTTAGGTTTGGATAAAGGCCATGAAACAAAACTAGAAACATGCCCACTTTCTCTTTCAGACAGCTAAATAATTCACTATTGACTTTTCCATTCAGAGTTTGCATGACTGCAAGAATAATTGTCTGAAAGTAAAATAAAGTTAAAATATATTCTCTCCATGAAGAAAAAATGCCAGAAAAATATTTACCTACACTATCTAGAAATGATAAAAGCTTTAATGGATTCTTTCCCAGTAAAATTGTTGTATACATATATAAGCATATAAACATGTATATACATGTCTATGCATATACACATATACACCTATATACATATAAATTTACCGACTAGTAGCTATCTATAAATTCATTATAAACATCTGAGATTACATTTATTGAGAGTTGATAAGAAATCATACAAAATGAAAAGCCTAGCAAAAGATTCAAAAAAGGAAGTTTAATTTGCAAACATTAACATTAGTGTTACAGAATCTCTAAATTTACCAATACTACCACATAACCTTCCCCCCAACACTTCACAAGGTTGAATGAATAAAATGAACTGAAAACAGCCAGCTCCACATCTTCCTGGCCAGGTAAGATTGCCAAGTTTTAAATACTATTTCACATGCTGGGACTCTAAATTTTATTTTCATAAATAAAAAAGTAAATTAAACACTCGAGCCATGCAAAGCATCTGTCTTTTTAATGTGTTTGAAATGAGGATTATATTTAGCTAGGGAATGATTATAGTGCTGTCAAGAATAAAGAATTAATAGATTTTGCTTAATTTACAATGCTGAAGTGGTCATCTGTCTTTCAGTTTTCTCAGTATTCAAACCTGGCTGTCTCCATGCAAGGTGACATATAACTTGGAACATGCATTTTAGCAATATAACAAAATGGAAAGGAACAGATGGTTCAGTTGTTGTATAGGTATGTTTACTTACCTCAGGTTTGTCTCTTAGACCCTAGTTGTGTTGTACTCAGACTCATGTTTGCTTAGAGACCCAATGAGGCAGAACCTGGAATGTTATGGCTATTTCATTCAAAATAATAATGTTTGCATAGAAGAAAAGAAATATATGCATATAGATACTTAATGAATAGTACATCTTGATAATCTGATCAATATTTATGAAGTAATTTACACTGGCATGCAATTAGATTAAAATGATCAGATAACTTACTTTTTTTAAGAGATAGAAATGCCTTAATGCACAAAGAAATTACGGAGGGCATGTAAACAGTCACAAGAAGTCATAAATAATGCATGCAAGAGAAAACACAAATATATATAAAAAAGGTTCTGTGTTCTTTTTAAAATAAATTGTTCATAAATGTTTATGTTTTTCTTTTTCTTTTACTTGTAAACTTTTAATAATTTATATTTACAGTCATTCAAAGTACAATATACACTAGAAATAGCTCTTTATTAAAAATATCATGCTTGAATTCCCCTTTTTATTGATTAGAAAGATTTCTTTTAACTACATTCTTGTATGTAAATATATGAGTATTCTCTATTCACTATGCTGTCTCACATTCTAATTGAAAGATAGATATATAAATTAATATGACAAGGCAGGATACTGTGATTAATAATGGAACAGATACAGTAAGGTTTTGCAAATATTGTCATTCATTATATAAAAGATGATGTCTCATAAGAAAACAAAGGGGTTTCCTTACCCCAGGACTGTTTTTCTTATTATTGTGCCATGCATCAATCCGGACACATATACTTCTTATGTATTAATTTAGAGATTTTAGATGAATTGTGGATGATACTCAAGGCCACCTTAGTTAGATGGAAATCACATGTTTGTGGCTTTTTCAAAGGCTTCATTCACACAAACTCTTCTTTGATTTTTAAATATTTTACCTGTTTTCTGTTGACCTGCATGTGTATGCATGTAGGTGTATGTAAAATAGTAAAAGAAAAAGAAAGATATAAAGTAGAAAGGTAAAACTGAGGTACAGGACTCTTCAGGAAACAGGAACAGAAATGAAAGAGAGACAAGAAAAGAGAGGTAATATAATGGTATGTACTAACAGGAATCAGAAATTTAAACAACAAATGAAGAAAGAAAATATGTCTTTACTGAGTAAAGAGTGAATATGTTGGGCAATCAAGTCCTTACACAACAGTCTTCATCAAAAATCTATTGATACTGACCGCTGAACAGCTTTATCATGTCTGGACAGCCTGTGACTGGTGGTTGGTACCTCTTCGATTTCGTCTATCTCACACGCATCTGCAGCATCTTGTGAGTAGCTATGCTTCATGACAAGGATATTTCTCCTGTTCATGGGCTGAATGAGTGGTTTTACAGGCTGGGGTTGTATTTCTGTCAAGACAGAAGCATCTCTTGTGCTGAGGTTACTACGGCTGCCCTTAATGCTAGACACTTGTGATCCACAGTGATGGTCATGAATGCATTTTGAAGATGATCTCCGCAGTTTATGATAATTTTCAAAGTCATCTGCAACATCGGCAAGGTCAGCTGTAGTCCCTGTCCCTCTGAGGGTGCATAACTCATAATGTGGAGGCTCAAACACCTCCTGGAACACTGTTTGATCAAAGTCTGTTTTCCTTTGGACAAACTTTTTACGAGGCTGCTTGATCTGTACTATAACAGAGATAACAATGAGGATGATCACAACGCAAGAAGTCACCCCGATTATAGTCCCACTGGTATTGGTAAGTTGGTCCAATAGGTTAGCTTTTCTTTTTTCTGTGTGACAAGGGAAAAAAAATAAAGCACAGAGTTAATTGCAGTTCAAGAATAAAAACCACCATGATAGGTTTACAGATTACTGCAAAACCAAGGCTAGTCTATATCTGAGCTCACTTAATCAATCTCAGAGAGAAAAAGAAAAAAAGGTAGAAATCAGGTATTCATGAAAGTCAAATAAACAACACACAGGTCCTCTGTGAGCCTATTCACCTGGAAAGTGATTTATTCAGGATGTCTTACAAGCTCAATTAGATGAAAGAATTATTTACATTTTTTTATAAAAAGCAACCATAGTAACAAGCAGATGGCTTTAGCCTCACCTCTGAACTCCACTTGCCTGCTAAAGCCCCCAAGACTTAACAGCTGTTCTCTTCATTAATTTCTGTCTCTACCAGTAAATATATGCAACTAGGACATTAGAACCAATGAAAGAGCAAGACCTTACAGGATTTAAAAAGAAATTCTTCTTTGCATTGGGAACTTCAGTGAAGTCCTAATATTTATGAGCTGACTGGGACTGTTGACAGTATTCAATGAAAAAGCTAAATCAGGAGAAAATAGAAAAGTTATTCAAACTAAGGTTTCAGAAAGAAAAAAGTGTGCAAATTATTTCTATTGTTCCTGATCTATTAATTACTGGATTTTTTCTTAACACTCATAAAAACCAAAAGCCTATCCTACCTGTTATCCTTTCTTCAAGGGCCCCTAGGAAGTTAGCCAGCAAATTCAGCATTGTGAATGGAAAAACCCAGAAAATATACAGTAAAATATAGAAAGAAAATCAGTTTCACCCTATAGTTGTATACATTACTCTGTGATTCTCTTTCAAATGGCTGCACACACGTGGTGACTGGGCCCTGCAGAAGTCCAGGCTGAAAGCATTTGCATCAGTCTCTCACAGGCATATCAAAATTCAGTAACTGTGATTAAGTTTCAACACTAAGTTTAGTAAAATTGTTCCTGGCAACCTAAAACATAATGAAGGACTTAATAAAAAGCCTTTGAAATGAAAGTTATTGGCACCAAAACAATAGCATCCATCTCTTCATAACCTCCTAGACACCAAAAATTAACTTTTCAGTACTCCCCATTGCTGACTCTTGTAGATTCACCTGAGGTTTCTCTAACTGATTGACACAGACTCCGGGGAAGTAGCTGTGTTAGAAAAAGCAACACAGCATCAAGGAACCGTTTTGCTGGAATCAGCAAACCTCCTTTTTCTAGTCGGAAAAACAAGAGAGGACATAAAAAGATATTTTGCAGCTAAAAGATGAAAATCATTTGGGAAACTAAAGAGTGGAAAAGGTTTTTGTTTTCCTTTGTACTAAAGAAGTAGAGAACAGATAATAATTTCCTAATTGTATGTTTAATTTATTTGAAGAATATTATGCCATGCCACAGTTTTGCTCTCTTCTTTTGAAAGTATGTTTTCATTCGTGTTTTACCCTATTGCGCTGCTTGTCAGGATTTTGCAAGCTTCAGCAGATTTATGGGCTGACTGCTAATCCACCTCATTCCGAATTTCTTCTTGATTGATTCCTAAATTTGGCATACCCCATGTTTCCAGGAACAAATCTGCAGTAGCAGGGTGAGGGGGAGGGAAATGAACTGTCTCCCTAGCTTGCAATCTAAGTTAGTTAAGCCCCTGAAAACAACACAGATTTTCTTTCAGAAACACAGAGCAATATTTTAAAACTATTGTCAGCACCTGGCTATCATGGAACCAGTCCCCACTTTATACATGATTTCCTGTGTTTGTTCCTTGCTTTTCAATTTATTTATTTTTTTCTGGTTATATGTAGGTCTGGTTGCTTTCTTACAGTGTTAATTGCAACTCACCTTGGCTTTTTAGCCCTCCTGGGCTCTATTACGGGCATGGCATGAAGCCAAAAGACACCTGCTACTCATATGCTACCCCACTACAAAGGAAACTGACAAAGGAACCAAAATATGACTTTCAATGACATTTTAGATTGTACAAGAATCAGAGACCAAGCAACCAGAAAGCCTGCCAGGACGTAACCAGTCATAAGGACATAACCAACAAAAATCAACACTCCAAGCAAAACAAATGCAAACACTGAAAGTAAATTCTGTCTGTACTTTTACCTCTCTTCATTTTCCCTATTGCTTGATGTCTGCTCTCCCTGAGTTACTTGTCCTGAGCTTTGACCCATCTGGCACACTCTTAGCAAGAAACTAAGGATAATATGCAGCGTCCCATACAGTCTAAATCACTTGACATTTCCATTTCTACACATTACCTTTGCAGTGGTTTTCATCCCAAGGATACACACAATTCTGGAGTCCATTGCAGACCAATGTATTATTAATACACATATTACTGTGGCAAAAGAAGGTGTTGGCTTCACAAGGGGCTAAAAATAAGAGAGAAAAAGCTGATATTAAGTAGTAAATCATTCAGCTCCCTGCAACAAACACATCTAGGAGTGATAAGGTAATCTGTAATAAAGAAAAGCTATGCAACACAGGTTCGGTGAGCAGATTTAATATTCGACATGCACAACTGAGAGCACTCAATTCATACACTTATTCTGTGGCAAGAGATTTTCAGTTCTGTTTAATGTGGATGGACTTTCCCATGGTCTGACTCTCATGACTGTAGTGGGTTGGTCTCCCCTACATTGCTGAGGGGTCACTGATGTGTTAGCAACAGTTTTAGCCACAGATGGAAAGTATTGCACCCTATGGGCTGCTGTAAAAGAAGTTAACTCTATCCCAGCCAGATCTAGTGCATGGGAAATAATTTTGTTTTAACTTTGTTACTGAAAATCCAGTTGTATTACAAAATTCAGAGAAGGTATGTACTTCAGTGCCCATATCAATGGTGCCTGAACATTTATACACAGAGAAAATAAAATTATTACAAAAAAACTTTTGGTCATAACAAAGGCTACAAAGGTACAGAAGTACCCTTTTGATCACGAGGGTGAACATTAAAAAAATCAACAGACTTCAGTGTCCCTGAAGCCTATGGTCTAGGAGAATCATGCAGATCAAACCTGCAGGATGAAGACTTTACTGAAGGCCATATACTGTTACTTTGAAGAAGGAGCTTGGAAGCCATCACAAAGAATTGTAAGTGCTGCTAAGCTGTGCTACTTCCTCAAGTGTAGGGAGATCCTTAGGTGCTGGGCTTGCAAAGATACTCTAAATTACATAACATAGTACAGATAAAGTACTCCTCATATTTCTTCTATTAAAACCAAATCAGAAAATCTTCCATTTTGAAAAGGAGCTACAAACTTTACCAGCGTTAAATCAGTAAAAAATTAATTGCTTATTTATTTTTTTAGCTCAGATGACCCATAAACATTATAATAATTATTTTTAAGGGAAAGTTAAAACACAGTCTAAGACCCTTAACTAATTGGAATGGAGTTGTGATGTTCATATTACCGCTACTTGGAATTTGGTGCTTCACAGCAATTTTTCTCCTCTGCAGCTTTAAAAGCCATTCCTATTACAACATATATGCATGACACAGAGACTGGCTCAGAGCAGGTGACTGCTTCAGTGGTTTGCTACGAAGGATTTATATTGTAGAGCTTAATGACTCCATATATCGTGTCAAGAAATTCATGTTTAAAGAAGTGCTGAAGTTCAAATATCCATAACTGACTATAATGGCATCTTCAGAGCTGTTATGGTCTGTCAAACAAATAGTAAATGCCATGAAAGCTTGTACATGCCCCCAAATACACAACCGTCCACTCAGACATAACAGTATGTGTATAGTGTATCTCTTAGCCAATGGAGAAGACTAGGCAGCCAGATTTGTTCTGGAAGGACTGTTGTGCAAAGCAGAAATAAAAGAATTTAGAAATATAGTGATGGTAGGCAGAAAAGAAGAACTAGAGGAAAACAGTAAAGGACATTTAAGGAAGAGGAAGAAAGAGAGAACTGCACAGCAGAAATAGATGACACTTAAGACATTCTGCACTGAAAGGAACAACAAATTTCACATTGATGGAAAATATTAGGAAATGTTTCAGAAATAACAGAGAAAAAATAAAAGCAGTACAAGGGACGTTTTTTGCACATTTAAGAAGGGATAATTATGCAAAGTAATGGCAGGGAGACCTCAAAACAAAAGGCAAGAGAAAGGAAGAAAAAAAGAAAAAAAAAACATCGGTTTCTCGGAGTTGTGCTGTTGAACTATGGAGGAAAGAGATGGTATGTGAATAAGTGTCAAAGCTAGATGAACAGCGAGGCAGAGCAATTTCAGAATAAGTACAAGAGAACTTATTATGAGAGAAACCTAAAGTTAATATTCACAAATCTAATGACAAACAGCCTCCTCTTGTCCACGTTTATAAAATAAGCATAGTCAAGTCCTCTCTATGGTCCCTTGAACCTGACTTGATCAAGCTGGACAAGAAATCAATATATTTTCCTCACTGTAATGAAGGCTTTCTGTTGGAATGAATGAAAATATCAAGAGAAGCTGAAAACTTGTCAGTCCCCCTTGAAGAGGGACAACAAAGGGATCTTGAGATGCTGCATCAAGGACATTCTAGTAATAACAAAAAGATAAGTGAACTGGTAGTAAACAGGATTCTTTTATAGTAAGATGTATCTGGTCCTGATGCTTTCTTGAAGCTGTTAAAGAACCCAGGATGGGAGTGGAATCAAGTTGTGAGAGCAACACTTGATAGTTTAACCTAAGTCTTGAGCATTGCCTATGGCAATGCCTCAGTATCTAAACAAGGTTGTGAATGCTTTCAAAAAAGGAAGCTACTGCTATCATTAGCTTCAACTAGACAAAGCAGCACAAGGCCCTCCACCCAGCAGAAATTCTATCAGCCTAGTTCTTCCTCATGACTATGTAAATGCCCTTTCTATGAGAGCAGCAGGGGATGCACAGAGCTCTGCCTTGGGTTAGGTGAGGAGCCAAGTGAGAGTTTTTGGGTCAGGATTAGTGGGCAGCCCAGTACTGGCCAACCACTACCAATAGTGTAGTTTGTATCTGTCTGCTCCAGACTACCTGATCAGAGATAAGAAGCAATGAAGCTTTCTTCAGACAGTCTGCTCATGTTGGCAGACCCTGGTCCTTGTGGGAGATTTTAACCACCTGATATCTGTGGAGGGCAACACAGCAGGGCACAAGCAATGTGAGAGGTTTCCAGAGTGCATTGACAATAACTTCCTAATACAGATAATGAAAGCGGTGACAAGAAGAGCTCTGCTGGGACTCATACTTTTATAGAGAAGAAAGAACCAGTCAAGGAAGTGAATGTCAAGTGCAGCCTTGGCTACAGTGATCATGAGATGGTGGAGTTCAGGAAGAAGGAATAAGGCAAAAAGCAGGATCATAACTCTGGGCCTCATGAGAGCAAAATTTCACTGTTGAGGGCTCTGCTTGGCAGAATGCCATGGGAGGTGGTCCTGTAAAGATAAGGGTTCCAGGAGAGTTGGTTGATTCTGTAGGATCACCTCCACCAAGTTCAATAGTCATCTAGCTGGACATGCAGAAAATCAAGTGAAAGTGGCAGTTAGCCTGCACAGATGAACAATGAACTCCTGACTAAATTGAAACACAAAAAGGACACATACAAGAGGTGGCAGCAGGATCTGATGATCCCAGCAGAAATATAGGGGCATCAACCAAGATGCAGTGATACGTTTAGGAAGTTGAAGCCCACGTGGAGCTGAATATGTTGAGGGCTGTAAAGGGCAACAAAAAGGACTTTTACAGGTATGTCAGCTGCCAAAGCAAGACTGGGGAAAATGAAAATGTGATAATAAATGGGGCAAGTGTCTTAGTGACAAAGAACATGGAAAGGCCAAAGTACTAAATGCCTTCTTTGCCCCCATCTTTTTTTTTTTTGTGAGATTTGCATTTCGAAATTTCAAGCACTTGAGATGAGGGAGAAAGCTTGGAGCAAGAAAGACTCTAAGTGGAAGAGGACAAGATTAGGGAATAGTAAAACAGACTGGACAGACATCAGCCCGTGGGCACCGAAGCAATGCCTACAGTAGTTGGCTAATGTCATTGTGAGGCCGCTCTTGATTACATCTGAAAGACTATGGTGAGCAGGAGAGGTTTTCTAGGACTGGAAGAAAGAAAATGTCCGTCCATCTTTGAGAAAGGCAAGAAGGAGAATCCTGAGAGCTACAAGTCAATCACGTTGTCTTGGTCTTTCGGAAAGTGACAGAGAATAATTCTGAAAACCATTTCCAAACACATGAAGGACAAAACGACTGTTGTCTGCATGGACTTATGAAAGAGGAATCATGTTTGACCAACATGACAAACTTCTACCATCGGATGACTGGCTTGGTGAGTGAGGGTAGAGCAGTAGATGTTGTGTTTCTCTACTTAATAAAAGTTTTCAACCCTGTTTCCTGTAACATCCTGTAACGTCCTGTAACACAGACAAACTGATGAATATGAGGTAGATTATAAATAGACAGCAAGCTGGACTTGAAACTGGCTGAACTGCGAAGCTGTGATCAGTAGTATGAAGTCTAGCTGGAGTCCAGTCACTAGTCATGTACCCCAGGGCTCAGTATTAAGGCCAATACTCTTTAATCTCTTCATTAGTATTCTGGAAAATAGGACAGAGTATATCCACTGTAACTTTTGAGGCAGTGCAAGACTGGGAGGACTGGTTACTAGACCAAGTGGATGGGTGGCTGTCCAGATGGGCCTCAATAGGCTAAGGAAAGAGAAACCTCAAGCAGATCAACAATAGGAAATGCGAAGTTCTCTGCTTGCGGTGGAATAACTTAATGCACCAATATATGCTGGAGACTGACCGTCTCAAAAGCAAGTTTACAGAAGAAGTGCTGGTGTGCAATAAACAGATCATGAGGCAGCAATATGGGCTCGTAGTAAAGGCAGCCACCAGTATCCTGGGCTGCATTAGAAAAAGCATTGTCAGCAGGTTGAGAGAGGTGATCCTCCCTCTCTACTCAGTGCTGATGAGGCCACATCTGCAGTGTTGTGTTCATTTCTGGGTTTCTCAGCACAAGGAAGACATGGACACACTTGAGACAGTCCAGCAAAGGGCCAGAAAGACCACTGAAGGCTTGGATCATCTGATATATGAGTAGAGGCTGGGAGAGCTGAGGCTCTTCAGCCTGGAGAAGGCTTGAGGGGATGTCATCAATGTGTACAAGTACTTGGTGAGAGGGAGTAAAGGAAACAGAGACAGGCTCTTCTCAGTGGTGCCCAGTGACACCAATGAATACTAAATGAAATACAGGAAATTCCCCTTAAATGCTCCTCAGAAACATACTGAACATCAGTCAATGAGTGGTGAGCAATTGCACTGTTCATCACTTGTTTTGTGCATTCTAATTCTTTTATCAATATTATTACATTTTGTTATTATTATGATAATAATTATTA